TAATGGCCGTTGCAAAACCATAGCTGCAATGTTCTAAGGTTAAAGGGAGCCAAAGCACTCAAGTAACGCATCCAGCAACTACATTTTTAGCATTTCCAGCTTTCTGGCACAAAAGTCTTTTCTTCTTCAGGCCTCAGTTTGAAGCGGACTTCAACCTGTCTGCAGCTGGAGACAACTGCTCTCAGCTTAGTTCAGTTGGGTTCAGAAAAGTCCGTCTTCAGTGTTCCTGCTGGTAAGGGCTGTAAACCACTACCTGAGTGAGCTTCAAGGCAGGGGAAGCTGTTGTAATGAGAGCAATACCCATGGCAGGAGGAGATAACACGGGAGCCMTGGGCCTGGGGGAAGGGGAACGGGCCCCATTCAGCCCTCAATGGAAGCCTGAAGCACCGGGACCCCAGGGCAGGGGGGCTAAACTACCCGGTACCACCCTTAGCTGATAAGAGAGATGGTCAACAGCAGATTTAGCTGCTTCAGAGGCAGGAGGGGGTGTTTTTCGGAACAGGCTCTTTCCCTCCCYTCAGCCACCTCATTCCCATGCTAGGGCTCTAATTGCAAAACCAGAGCCATTTTCCCCGAGCGGCACACAAAAAGCGCCCGGTGTTCGCAGGTCTCTGCCTGACGGCTCCTTGCTGTTGCTGAGCCCACAGATCATCAGAGCGGCACATGCTGCTGACAGCCACAAGCTCAAGTGTTAGTCTGAGTTTAGCTTTTTAAAGCTCAAGTTTTAGGGTCACCAGCTTGTCCCCTGACGCCTTCTTCTGCGCCTTGCAGCGTGTTGGGCTTGACYCTTCCACCGGGACACCGTCCATCACCTTGGCTGGCAGGACGTCTCCAAAGCTGCTCTTGGCACCCAAAAGGCGCCTGTTTCCTCCCCAGCCTTGCCCAGCGCCCTTGCCCGGGGGAAGGAGCTGGGATGGCAGTCGGGATGAACAACAGGGCCTGCAAGATCCGTCTCCACTCGAGGATGGCGTGTTAAAAGCGGCCATTAGGGAGCCATTAGGGAGCCTGCCCCGAGATGGAGAACAATGTGACAGATAAGGCAGCTCCAGTGAGGCGGGCACAAAGCCTGGAGCAAACAAAAGCCCACGCTGGGGAGGAGGAGGAGGAGGAGGAGGACAGTGGTGGCTCTGCCCAGCCCCAAGCAAGAGAGACTCCGGGAAGAGCAGGGCAAGGTGAATCCAGGAGCAGCCTGTCAAACTGGAAAGGGGAAAGATTGGGAGATGCACTCGGAGAGGCAGGGAGGCCGATGCGCCAACATCGTGCCGCGCCGGCCGCACCACGCCGGCCGCACCACGCCGGGGAGGAGGGAAAGGGTTTTGCTCCCAAGCGCTGCACTTCCAGGTGCATGAGTCCCTCACGCGGGACGTGCCATGCCGGTCAGCAGTGCAGGATCCCAGGAATGGTGATCCCGGGAGGGCCCCACCGGGATCCCGGGAGCAGGGATCCCAGGAGGGCCCCAGCAGGAGGGGCAGAAGCCTCTTGAGCACGAGGCCGGCGGGAAGGGAGCCTCGGGGAGCAGCAGGGAGCTCCCAAGGCTGCTCCGGGCAGGCTCAGCGGCGGCTCCTGCAGCTCCTCCGAGCCTTCCCGTTGGGCGCCAGGCTGCGCAGGCAGCTCCCTCCTGCTCACTAATCCACATGCCCCACGCATGATTTTCCAGTACGCAGCTCCATTCCCAGAAGTGCTGCATCTTAAGTGGTTAGGAYGGTCAGAATCCACATGGAGGGAGCTTTCACCGTGTCACCTTCACAGCTAATCCAGGCCAGCTTGAAGCATTTAGAAGCTCGGAGACGGTGCCGGCCTCACACTCACCTTCCCTCCGCAGCAGAGGCCACGTTCCCAGGCCTTGCACCCAGCGAGGCACTGCTTCAAAATCAAGTGAGAATCTGTACAGTTATTTTTAATAGCATATTAAAATAGCACAATATTTTTTAATAACAATATTTGCAATTTCTCCCTCAGCGGGCTGGGGTTCATGCAGAGAGATGACAAATACAACAGAGAGGCCAAAGCACAGATTATAGCCGGGAAACACGAGACSGTTTTCTCCTGGGCTGAAGACACCAATGCAGAGATCAGGAGGCTTYGCGTCACGCGCGGAGCCCACGGGCACTGGCGGGAGCTACATTACCACCACCCAGCAGCCAGGCCTATGGGGCCGTCCAAAACGGGGCSGTAGACGCTACAAACCGACCGCTTCCCTTCCCTTCCCGCTGCCAGGCTGAACTTGCGACGGGATCGGGAGTCACCGGGCAAAGAGCCACCGTTCCGCTGGCACCGGCGGCACCGTCTGCTCTGGGAAGGAGAAATCCTGAGAAATCCTGATGGGGAGAAGCTCCGGAGCCCTCCGTGCCAGTCCCGGGCACAGCGGGAACTGTGGGAGGAGACRGGGCCGAGGCAGGCAGGAGCCCCGTGCGCTCCCCGGCCTCCCGGGAGGGCCCCATCCGTGCCGGGCATCCCAGCTACTCCTCTAGGAACACAGCAGGGATTCCCCACCAGGGGAAACGCTCGTTCCAAGGCCGCAGGAAGGGGCACTAAGGAGCGCGACCGGCAGCAAACGCTCCCTTAACGCCTGCTCCGAGGGCCAGAAACACCCGCCAGAGCCCGGCTATTTGCTGCACACACGCCACAGAGCAGCCTCGTGTCAGCAACCACCTCTGGCATCTCTTCTCTTTCCCTGGAAGGGGAAGCCTGAAGGGGAAACCTTTCCTTGACATTTCAGCTGGTTAAAATACTGCCAACGCTGCAGAAATAACTWACTCCTGGCGGACACAGCGCTGCCCTCCGACTGATTCCTTCGCCAGCCTACCAGGAACAGAGGGTGCAGCCCTGAATAAACCACAACAAAGGGAAATACTGTTAGCAGTTTCATAATTTAATGAAAAAGTACTTGTAAAAAGGGGACATCTGAAAAAGACCGAGTCCATCTTGGAAAATTGAATATATATATATTTATATATATAAAACAAAATGCAAAAACGCACCAAAAAAAATGACAAATAAGGTTAAGAGGTAATACTTCAAACAGTTAGCCACCCAACACACAATAAAACCTAGCAAATGCAGGTTGGGGACAATATTCGGGAACTACACAGCCAAGGGCTCCTTCATGTACCTGTGAAAAGCTCGTAGAAATGAGCAAAGCCCATTTTGCCCAGACTGGAAACACACAGTAAGCCCAGGAGAGCAGAAAGGCTGGCTTTGCTGCAGCACCAGTTTTGCCTCCCCTCTGCTACGGAGCCCAGCCAGGAAGGAATCCAGGCGCCTTCCTGACCACCGGAGGTGATCGATCCTTCCCAGCACGGGCTCTGTAGGTTGTCATGGCCAGGAGGAGGACTACTAATAAATACTTGAAGGAGACTCTAAGAGAGCCAGAACTGTAAGTACAGACCAACAGGTATTTGGTTTTGCTCACTCGGRAGGACCCCTGGCTGAGAACACGAAGCATTTCCCATTAAAATAAAGTATGTGGAAACCTAAAATGTTACTGCGTATTTACACCAAAAGAAATGATTTTGAAGATACAGCTCTAGAAAGACAAATTACACAAATATACATAAAACCTAGAAGTGGGGGGGAAAAAATATTAAGATGCATGAAGCAAAGAGCAGAACTGCCAAGTATATTTTTCCTTTTTTTTTTTTATTATTTTTTATTTTTAATTTCACTACTGACAAGTCCTCCAGCCCCTGACCTGCTGGTCCTATTGCAAACTAGGGAGATTTCGAAGTGTAAAACTCATCTCGAAACACCGCTGCAATTTCCCAGACTAAAAGCAACAGAATAAGTTAAGATTGGGAAGGAAACCAAGCTGCCTTTGGGATTCTGCATAGTCATCTTTACATTGGGTAGGGAACCTTTCCCTTCTAGGAGAAACATGATTCCCTCTGCTAGAAAGGAGCCTTTTTCTTATGTCCTATGTCCTATTCCACGGAGGCAGATCATCTACAGCATTTCAAATACAAACAGCACAGTTAGTTTGGGTATCAACACCACCAATTCGGAGAGTCAGGCCTGTTTGTATCCAGGCAAAAATCCTGTATTGGATAAACAAAGAGAAAAGGGGTCCCCTCCCCTCTGGCTTCCGCAAGACTGCTTGGAAGTTAAATACTGATTAAAATCAGCTACTGCTGATTGCAATAACAGGTAATAAGAGTTTTAGTTTGGGAAACTGCAAGCGACCCAGAGGTTGGCAAGCAGCTTAATGTAATCACAGATCTTCAGGGAGAAAAAAAAAAAATAAAAATCCAAACGATGACTTGGCTAAAATTGTACAGACCCAGATGCCAGAGGTAAGAAGCATAAGCCTAAACTCTGATTTAGGCAGCTCGGTTTGAAAATTTGTGCCCACATAAAAAGGTCGGACAAAGTCACTTCTCTCTCGGCTTACTTCAAAAGCACCGGATCCCAACACCCCTGGCCCTGGAATCTCCCTTTCAGGAGGGACCTGGCATCACCGGTGACTGCCTCAAGTGAAGTGTCAAGTAGCCTTGTTCTTTGAAGTAGTACATCTGCTCTTGTAAACACTATCCACAAAATTAGCCATCTGTACTTGTTAGCTGGGTAAAATATTTACAAGTGCATCCCACAACAAGCAACTATGTACAGAGATTAAAAAACGGAGCGGGACAGTGCTACAAGGGGCCTATTTACAGGACGGGCCTCCCCTCCGTGTGGAGGGGCCGTGCGGGAGCCACCCGGGGCCTGGCCGATGGAGCCCCCGGCTCGGCCGGGCTCCTTGGGAAGGCCGGAGCGCGGGGCAGGATTGGGGGCGGCTCTGGCACCCGCGGTGCCGAGCCTGGCGCGCTGTCCTCCGAGGGGAAGCGGATTCCYGGACGCRCCAGGCGCCCATGGAATACCCGAGKTCCTGCAGGACATCGCAGCAACTCGGTTACCCCTCCGAGGACCATGGCGGCAATTCCCAGCTGAGCCAGGCCGCTCCAATAATCCCTCCGTCCTTGCGCCGTGCTCYGCCGCAGCTCTCCCCGGCGCCGGTCCCGCTCCGGAGCCTCCCGACGCCGAGCGCGGCGCGGGCACGCGGGACGGCGCGGAAGCCGAGTCACCCCGCAGGGGCTTCTAATCACCTCTGCACCGCGCCGTGGGAAACCATGTTCTTTTTGTTCCTGCTGTGACAATCCCTGCCAAAGTCCCTGCYGGGGCTGTCCCTCTCGGAGCTGCTCCGCCGGAGCCGCACTTGCTCCTTGTTTTCGTCGCTCTCCGCCTCGGAGTCGCTGAGCTCCAGGTCGGGGCAGTAGCCGTCGTTGTCCTGGTAGGGAGCCCCCTCGAGCGGCGCCCTGCTCCACAGGCGCTCCTTGGGCGCCAGCCTCCTCGGCGGCTTCTCGCAGCACCGCAGGTCCTCCGTGGTCCTCACCAGGCTGTTGGTGGCCTCCTTGAAGGAGCGGCTGAAATGCTCCATGGTGGCTCTGCGGAAGCYGCCGGGGGCGGCCAGGTGCGCGGCGAGCCCGGCCTCCTGCTCGCAGGGCGTCTGGCTGGAGCTGTCCCGCTGGCCCACGAGGCCGTTGGAGCGGGTGGGCAGCCTGCCATTGCCCAGGGAGGCGGCGGGCGCGCGCGGCGCCGCGTGCAGCGCCAGCGGC